TGCCGACAAGCGTCGATCGGACCTGGAATTCCAGGTCGGAGATATGGTGCTCCTGAAAGTGTCGCCTTGGAAGGGCGTCATTCGATTCAGGAAGCCGGGCAAGCTGGGCCCCAGTTATATTGGACCCTTTAGGGTTATAGCCCGGGTGGGCAAGTTGGCGTATAGGCTGGATCTGCCGGCCGAACTCAGTCAGATTCATAGCACTTTTCACGTCTCCCAGCTGCGGAAGTGTCTGGTGGACGATTCGGCAGTGGTGCCTTTGGAGGATATTCAGGTTGATGACAGCCTGAACTATATCAATCGGCCAGTGGCGATCCTTGACAGGAAGTCAAAAGGATCTGAGGAACAAGAAAGTAGAGCTGGTTAAGGTGCAGTGGCAGCACCGCAAGGGCTTGGAGTGGACCTGGGAGCTGGAGGACGAGATGAAGGAGAATTACCCCGAGCTTTTTCAGAATCAAGCAGCAGACTTCAAGGATGAAGTCTAAGAATTGTATGTCTTTAATTCAAGAATTGTATGTATTTTCTCTGGGACTCGATGAGTTGGTGGCCCAACTCGTCGAGTAGAGACGGGATCCGCGGGAAGTTTAAGTGACCTACTCGACGAGTCAGAGACTGACTCGGCGAGTAGGTGCTGTTTGAGTGAAACCCTAAATTTGAGGGTTTGCACCCTATTTAAACGCCTTAACTCAGCCTCCATCGTCCCTATCACTCCCAGAACACCTCATATCGAAACCCTAGCCGCTTTGAGTGATCTAAGGCCATTTTTGGTGCTTTTGGGTAGTTTGTGGAGCTTGGAAGGAAGGAAGAAGCTTGGGAATTCGAGTTGGGGCTTGTAGATCCAGAGATCTTATTCCATCTTCAGCTTAAGCAAGGTAAATGCCCCATGTTTTGGTCTTCCATTTGATTGTTCATCTTTAGGGCTTAGAATTTGGGTGCATTTAGGGCTTTCCAAACCATTTTCGGATTTGTGAAGTGTTTCATGGAGTTCTACTTCCAGATCTGAGTCATTGGAGGGGTCTCATGGCATAAAGGTGCCAACTTTATGGCCATGAGAGCCCCATGCATCTTGTAGAACACCTATTAGGGATTTTAAGCCAAAGACCCCATGCATGTGCACCAAGTTTGGAACTTTACGTGTAAAATGGACATTAGGAGGCCAGATATATGGTTTTGAGGTGTTAAGAACCATTTAAATCGACTGTATTGTAATGGTCATGGAGGGACTCGACGAGTCGCTCTTGGGACTCGGCGAGTCGTGATGCAATGACCACCAAATCCTTTATGTAGAGGGAACAGTTATTAGCAAGGAAAAGTCCCGTAGATGTTTAGTCTTAAAAGGGACCTGGGAATCATGGGACTCGACGAGTGTATGAACAAACTCGGCGAGTCCAAGGAAATCTCCCAACCTTGAAGATGGACTCGACGAGTTGTTCATACAACTCGGCGAGTCATAGACTGGACACGTTCTTATGAGGGAGATGAACTCGCCGAGTTGAAGGAAGAACTCAGCGAGTCGGATTAAGATGGTCCCGATGGTTTGAATGAAGGAGAACTCGACGAGTGGTGTCGGGGTTGGATCGGGTTAGTGGAGCATGGACTCGATGCGTTGGTAGACCAACTCGGCGAGTCAGGTCAACTGGGTGTTGACTTTGACCAATGTTGACTTGCTTGGTTTAAGGATTGACCCTGGTTAGGGTTGTTTGTTCTGTTTGATGACTTGAGGGTTGTCGTGTAGGGATTGAGGGGTCAAGGAGAGCCGCCCTTCACACCGAGGACAGTTCAGACACTACACGACATCGAGGTGAGTTATCTTCTAGTAGAAGTGGGTCTACGGCACCAAGGCCAGCCCACTAGTAGATGTTTAGCTGAGATAATTGTCTTTGTGATAATTGTCTGGTCGGCTATTGTTTGATATGCGAGTACGCTAGTTTGCTTGATATGTGACTATGTTAGTTTGCTATGTTATGTGAGATGGTATCAGTAGGAGGGGACTAGTCCCCGAATCGGTCGTTAGGACCAATGGGTAGGTCGGACACCCCAGATACGTTTGACAGTATGATAGAGATATGACATTATGTGTTAGCAGTAGGGGTGAAATAGTCCCCATGTTTGGTTGAAAGACCGAAGGGTAGGTCGGCACCCCAGAATAGCCTGACATGGGTAGGTCAGCACCCCACAATGGCTTGACATGGGTAGGTCAGCACCCCAGAATGGCTTGACGTGGGTAGGTCAGCACCCCAGAATGGCATGACATGGGTAGGACGGGCACCCCAGAATTGCCCGGCAGCTTATATGTTATGTGATTGCATGGTATGTGGTATGATGGGGGAACTCACTAAGCTTTGTGCTTACAATTTTAGTTTTGGTTTCAGGTACCTCTTCGTCTAAGGGGAAGGAGTCGGCGGTGTAGCAGCGCATCACACACACATATTATTTCCGTATGGAGTTTTCTGGGAATGTACTCTGATTTATTTTACTTTGACAATATGATTTTCAGACACATTGTTATATTTCTGTTTGCAAATGATATGGCATGGGAAATGTTTTGGTAAACTATGTTGTGGATTACTTAATTAAAAATGAAAAATTTGGGCTTGAAATTTGGGATGTTACACATACGGGTCTTGTGCTTCCAGTAGTACGGGGCCCAATACTACCTTCCACACCTACCCATATTTGTCTCAAGAATCATCACATAAAACCCAAAATAGACCCCCAAACCCTATACTCACTCTCCTAAATGTGGCTAGAAATCCATATTCGACCCACCAAATCACACACTCATGAAACTTCCACCAACCCTATAGCCGCTGGTTCATGCTAATGATACATTACTCTGGACCCGATAGACAGTCAAATACTTGATTCTACCTTAAGCCCACAACCAAACAGGGAACAGGAAATAAGGCTAAATCAAACATTCTCATGCTATAAGATCTTAGTTATGTATAATTATGATGCATAAGCTAAACAACTACAGTAATGATGTCAATTTCATAAAGAAAACAAGAAGCATCCCTAGGCTACCAGGCATCAATATCAGGCAAGATCCTTAGCATAATCTAGCATGCAATTCTAACACAATAACATAACCATACAATAGTGTGGGTAACTTGGGTATACTTCTTGCTCTAGTTGATCGCGCACACCTCTTCCTTCCTTGGTTATTTTTGGAAAAACAATTTATCAAAACATTTTGAAAACTTTTGTAGATCCTTAGTTTGATTCTGGACTCAGACGAATGTTTGTCCAATTCGCTCAAACCAGGGCTCTGATACCAACTTATAACATCCGGAAATCACCGTAACATTTTTCACTATAAAATACAGCCCAAAACATCATTGTTTACAAATCATTTTTCCAAAAGTAGAAAATCATAAGTCAGAGTATCCCAGAAAATCATGTCAAATTAAATCGCGAAGGTTGTGCCCGATCACGCCGTCCCAGTGCCCCGATTATTTGGAGTACCTGAAACATAAACTAAAACTGTAAGCCCAACGCTTAGTGAGATTCCCCAAGATACCACATACAACAGTTAAATAGACATATACAATGCATGTTTGGGCCCACAACCTCCCAGTTGGATTGCCATAACACTGGGTCCACAACCTCCAGGTTGGATTACCCTGGCCCACAACCTCCCGGTTGGATTTCCCCGGTATGTGTATCAACTGCACAAAGGAGTTACCTCAACCCAATGAACATATGTTAACATATACATACAGATAAACATCGAATACAGTTAATAAAACAGATCTAACAGGTCACTATAGCATATCAATATCCTTCAAACTAGGATACCTAATTTATCGGGACGACATTGGTGCCTTCGACCCCCATATATAATGAGGAAGAACTCACCTCACAATCAGACGAGAACAGGAAAAATTTACAATATTGCGAATGAATCAAAAAACTGGCTCAATTATCACCTAACCAATACCAAGGACCTAATCTTAATTAACAGCTCAAAATACCCAAAAATACCCATAGGTCAAACTTGGACAAAACTCTGGTGAAAGGTCAAAGTTAATGAGTCAACTCAGTCAACTCTGCTGAGTACGTGGGGCGTACTCAGCTTGTATGTTGGGCGTACATGAGCCTTGACCGGGATCTGGCCATTAACCCCATACGCACGACGTACGCATCGAAGTTCTTTTCCCATACTAAGAGCTTAATTCATTAAGCTCTTACGTTCCAATTATAGATCCAAGGCCAAATTACTACTGAGAGTCATAAAGTTTTCACACTTTATGACTTTACATGTCCATTAAGTGCTTAATACCAACAAGCCTAACTTCTTAATCCCCAAAGACATTCTAGAGCATGCATGAGGAAGAATTAAGTATCAAGATTTCATTTTTATGACTCAATACCCCACAATGGGTCTGAAAGAACAACATATTTGGTTCAGAGCATGCCATGCTCAAGAATCACCAAGGTTGGGTTAAAAAATGCCATAAATGAAGGAATAACTAGATCTATAAGAAAAGATGATCAAGTTAGGAACTTTTTACTTCCTGAAGTTTGCTAGTAAGGTGAGAATCCCAGATCCAAACTTCATCCAAGCTCCAATGTACTTCCACCATCTTTTTCTTGTTCAAGAATACCACCAAAACACACAAATGAGCTTAAGGTGTAGTTTCCACGATTAGGTTTAGCTAGAGGGGCGATTTTTAGGTGGAGGTTGATGAGGGTGAAGATCTTGGGGCCATAAATGGGATTATATAGGGTGAAAACCCTCAAAATTAGGGTTTTGGTCTGAACAACGTACGTACCGCATACCTGCTGAATACGCCCAACGTACGTGTGTGAACCCATTTTCCTCATGCATGAGTACGCCATGCGTAAACCCCGAGTACGCACGACGTACGAGCCAAGAATGCAAAACTTAAAGATTTAAGTGTTAGAAATAAACCTTCTCGGAACGGGTGTTACAAATCGGGTCTCATTGGTCCCCCCTCTAGTCCCCCCTGCTCCCTCGACATCATTAATTCACTATGTGTCTCCACATCGACAGTAGCCGTCGACAGCAACCCTTTCTTCCAAAATCGATAACAACTCTTCGGACGACATTTTCCAGCGAAAGCAGATGGATCGACAGTTGTCCCTCATTTTCGTCGATGGATACAGCTCCCGGGTAATCCGTTTTCACATTATTTAGATTAATGTTTTCCTTTTTCAATATTTTTTATATTTAGGATGAAAATGGTATGAATATAGAATTCAAAATGTGCAAATAGGCGTAAATGGAACTGAAATGGCGAAGATCCATTCCGCGGAGGAGATAGGTCACTCCGTAGAGGGACTTCGCGGAGTGACGTTTCTCCTCCGCGGAATGACCTAAAATTCCCATTTTCCCTTTTCTTCTGCCCTTTTTCGTATTCTTTAGATTTAGGATGAAAATGGTATGTATATGGAATTAAAAACCTGCAAATAGGCGGAAATGGAACTGAAACTGAATTGAAATGGTGATGATCCATTCCGCGGAGGGGATAATTCACTCCATAGAGGGTCCTCCGCGAAGTGACCTATCCCCTCCGCGGAATGATTCTGCCCATTTATAGCAATTAATTTCAAAATGAACCATTAAATAGAAAATTGAAAATTTGTAAATTGAAAGTATTCTGTTATTTAATTTTTATTGTAAATTGATGTGAATGGTATAATTGGGAATTTTTTAATTTTATAATGTAAATTGAAAATACGTTTCTATTTATTGCCTTAACCGAATTTACTATTTAATTTTAAAACCTTGTTTTTATTTTCAATTACTAACGTTTTAAATTAAATAAATGTATATGTTTTGTAGCATGATGATCTCAAACAAAAAGGTGATTTAACTTTAAAATGCATGGTCGATACGATCATTAAAGACTATTTTTTGCGGCTAACTCAATCGCAACGAGCATTAATTGAAGCTTCACCGTTTGGAAGATTCTTAGGAATGCATGTCCCCAATGGTTACCCCTTACTTGTGCATTTAATGATGTTGCATGAAGTACGATCTCAACAAGTGTTTGAATCGGAGAGGTTTCTGTTTGAGATACAGGGGGTACAGTTGGATATTGGTGAACTGGAGTGTATTTTGATTAGTGGGTTAAGAGTTTGTTCTTATGTCAATTTACTCCATGACGAAAAATGCCGATCAAATTCAAATCTTCAGGCTCGGTTGTTCCCATACATTACAGATGCACGTTTGAGGCTTAGAGATTTGAAGAGTACATTATGTCTCCGAATTATCTGCAACTTCAGGATGAAGATGCGGTAATGCTTATCCAGCTTGTTTTTATGTTGAAAGATCTCCATGGAAAGGGCGTTAAAACGTGCATTCCCGCGGCAGTATATACAAAAATAATTATAATAAACAAATTGAAAATTGCAAGTTTGCACGGGGTACATATTTCTGGACCTATACTTCGGGGTTGATGCGTGGAATATTTGAGAAAATAGAAAATTTTAAACTATTTAAGCATGCCAATCCCGAATCGACGAAAATACACAAGTATACCGTTCTCGGTTTTATGCTTTGTTTAAGGTGAGTTTCTAATGTAAATTTAAATAGTTATCATACTTTCATGTTTTATACCATAATAGCATTATACTTCCGTTTGTACTATATAATATTGTTGTACTGTATAATATTGTTGTAATTTAAATAGTTATCATACTTTCATGTTTTGGAGACGTTCCCAGAGGCAACACAGTGTTATATTCACACGCCAACAGAATTACCACGAATGAGGTCGTGGAGAAGAAAACACCATTATCTTGGGTTCAATGTCATCGAATAATCAACGTGTTTGTGGTATGGTTTTTTATATTATAATTATATACAGTTACACATTCTAATGTTTTTTTCATGTTAAACTAATAATCTGATTTTTGCAGCCTAACAATCAGTCTGTTATTGTCGTGGTAAATGAGACAGAGATCATGGAGACGTTTTATATTTGCTATGTTAATTGGACTCTTAAACATGTAGAATCTCCCGCACGAGAACATATTCCACCACCTATTGTTGCCTCACCTCCTCGAAGAAAGAAGTACAAGTCCGAAACATCTTCGTCTAAAACGGCCACAAGTGCTTCTACCTCGCAAACGCCTCACGTAGAAAGAAGTCATATGTCAAGACACACATCAACAAGGTCCATAAAGAAGAAGATACAAGCACAAAGACATTAATGAATCATCTACTAAGCGTTGTGGATGACTTAACTTCTAAAATAGACAGTGTATTACAGAAAAAAGATAAACCACATGCAGGGTTTAGTGGGGAGGAAATGGTAAATAAAGAGGAGGAAGAAACATATTACCATGGTACGGGGATGAATGATGATGATACATTTATGCATGGCTTGGAGGGGAATTTGGGCCTACAACTACGGGGAAAAATGTTGAGCCGTCACCGGAGGTGGTTCAACATCATAAAAAATACAGTCACTCCTATTGTTAGGTCACCGTGAACGAGGGGTGTTTCATGGTATCAACGGACGCCGTACACATTGGTATTAATCTAATCTAAATTTGGTATATATATAAAATATTACGTTGTTGATAATTAATTGACATTTTAATTTTTTAGATTGACTCCACACCAATATTGAAGAAAATCACCAAACCAAGGGAAAAAAGCATTGGAGTGTCCGAAAGAAACAAATGAAGAAATTGTGAATGAAGATATTGGTGATGTTTCAAATCATCTACTGTTAGACAGTCTTCGTACTACTTGTTCGTTGGGTTTTTGGAAAGAATGGAATACGATCTCTTCCAACCTCAACACTACACGTAGGCTGCATATAATCCCACTGGATGTGGATTTTTGGTCAGGTTTACTTGTAGTTACTGACTCTGGGTGGTTAATTTCTTCGATGAAATTCGTTAAATTTTAACTACTTTTTTTAGACGATAATTTATATAAATAATTGTAACATTTATATCTTAAAATGCACAACATATTGCAATATGGAGTGCCTTGCTCATGGAAAGACGGTTGGCGTCTTCAAGGTGGACGATATACCCTCAAGAAATCAATTTGCAACCCGGAAAATCACATTTTTTAGCAATATAGCAAATGGTGTTGGAGGTTATCCTAAATGGAAGGATGTGGATATGGTTAGTTTAATATTTGATTATATGTACAATATTACCATTTGAATTTGTTATGTATTTAATTAATCATTTTCTGTAGGTTTCATTCCCCATAAACGTTATTAGTGTCCATTGGTTTTTGGCAGTGCTAGATTTACAAATGTGGATAGTAACCATTTATGATTCAGCACAATCTATGAATTTATTCGGTAAGTACAACATTGGTGGAGAATTCGAAAGTTTTGGGAATAGTATTATCTCAGAGCTAGACTTGATTGAGTGCTGGAATTATTTCCCTGATAGACATAGAGACACTGCAATTATGAAATTTCTTCAAGCTATAGACGTGTCGCAGCAGCAACACATCAAAGGTGGAGAGGATTGTGGTGTTTTCGTATTCATTTATGGAAATGATTGTTTTGGGGGTACCGGTGAAGATTAAAAAGCCATGTAGAGATGCGAGATTTATATACTGAGATAGAATGACGAATATTATTTGGGACACTATATAACTTGATTTTAGGAACTTTGTATATATTAATATGAAATACCTGTTTTTAGAAATTTTGTTTGATATAAATATGTGTTTTTATTTTTAATTATATTCGTTTCGCGGACTGCCAAATCAGTTATTCGGACTGCCAAGTCAGTTACGCGGACTACCAAGTCAGTTACGCGGACTGCCAAGTTACTTCCACGGAATGAGAAGTCGTAAATTACATTTCACTATAAAATGAGTCGAAAATATGTATCATTTCATCTAATCTATATCACTACATCTACTTTTTATCTCTCACAACGGGTTCAAAACTATGGACCGCTGAGGAGTACTTGCTTCTAACTCGTGCATATATTAATGTCTATGAGAACAGCAGGTTGAATGATACAATGTTTTGGTCCTATTTAACTAATATCTTCAACACCGATGCTCAAACCACCTCAGAAAACCATCGCAGAACCATTAATTAATATAGCAGCAAAATGGTATGAATTGAAAACAAAAGTTATGTAATTCAATGATCTTTCTAAGAACATTGAAGACGCACGTGTGAATGATACTGAGGAAGACATCTTGGAGGCAGCTAAAGAGGAATACAAATCCATTAGCAACACAGAGATTTTCGACTATGAAGACCCTTGGAATCTTTTGAAAGATCTCCCGTATTTTTAACTTGTATTGCATTTGTATTAGGTTGTTTATATGTACTATGTTTGATTCAACGGTTATTTATATTTATTGTGTTTGTATTATGTTATTTATCCTATATTTTTTGAAACAGAATGCACAAACAAATATTACAATACATTCAAATAAAAAAACATTACAAATAACATAAAAACATTACAAAAAAAAAAACAGAAATAGAAACATTACATTCAAATAAAAAAACATTACAAATAACAAGCAGAAACATAAACATTACGAATAAGATAAAGGAATGACAAGCATTACATAAAAAATTACAAATAAAAGACCCGTCTACATGAAAAAGGTTTACTTTTTACGAGATTCCAAACGTCCTCATATTCGAACTCATTTCCATCAAACTCAAAAATGTAATATCTGTTCACTTCTTCAAAAGGTTCTTCATCGTCTGCTTGAGCGTGTCGTATTTTAGCATAATTGTAGGATCGATTGAACCATGTGATATTTTTTCTTTAAATCCATCTTTCTCTCACTTCATGATTGAACAAAGCTATTAGGAGGTGTCATTAATCACTTACAAGGCAATTAGGGGTAGACATTGCTGCTACACCCTCCTAAACGGTAATCCAACATCGTGTTAGGAACAACACCTCTGTTTTCGAAATGGACGTGTACCATTGGATGTAGCTGCTGCATATGATGGATTTGTTGCATTCGAAGAAGTTGGTACATTGGGTGCCATTTTGTGAATAAAAATGTGAATTTCATATAGATACAAGCTTTATTATATAAATAGATAGGTTATGCGGACTGCCAAGTTACTTCTGCGGAATGCCAAGTCAGTTATACAGACTGACAAGACAGTGACGCGGACTACCAAGTCAGTTATGTGGACTGACAAGTCAGTTACGCGGACCGCCAAGTTACTTCCGCGGAGTTAAACAGTGTATAAATTAACATTATAAGTTCATACAAAAAATATATCCTTTTTCAACTTCATTATGAGTTCATTTTCAAATTTGCTCCCCTAACGAATTTGATTGTTACTACTGTAATCCAATCGACCCTTTTGTTGCAACCTTTTAAGAAGGGCCATATATGTCCAATTAAACTATGAAAGAATTGCAATGTGTTGAAGAACAACAAAAACAGGATAGACAGTCATCCTGGGATCTCACTGAACGTATTGAATTCATTCCATTAGAATGCAAAAAGGTCGAACAGTGGATAGATATCAAGAAAAAGAAAATCAAAGAGCATGAAGAATGGATTGATAAGACTAATAAGAGTATCAAAATGAATGAAAAATGGGTTGTTGAGAAAGATGAAAAGATGTTAGATCTTAGTAGGCAAAAGGATCGTTTTGAAGATAAAATGAGAATTAGGGATGAGTATATAGCAATAGAGAAAGAAAAGTATCCAAAGAAGTTCCTGCAAGTTAATAATTGGTAAAAAAAATGTTGTACGCTTCTTATGTTTTTAGGTTATCTATATGTATTTTTATTGTGTTTTCATTGTTTGAGTAATGTATTTTATATGTAAGCCTTAGTTGTGTTATGTTCATAACAAAAGCCGATTTCCTTGATAGAGTAATCAAATTACACAATCAACGTCTTCTGAAACATATCATACTTAATTATAAATACAACATCAATCATTCAAATCAAACATCGAACAATAATCTTCTCTTTTCGTCCGGTGTGTCCCTTAGGTCCCGTGCGTCCCTTGCGTCCCTTTACCTTTTGTCATACTACCTGACGGCGTGCTACTTATTTAGGCTTCTTTTGCTTCATTGAGACCAACATTGGACAAGTCGATGCATTATGTGTTGTACTATCACATCTACTACACCTTCTTACTGTAGGTTCCTCACCTTGTGATGGGATGCAATTTTTGTTTTTTGGTCTACCAGCTTAACATGTATCCATTATCGAGGGTGTAACAACCATCATCTCATCAGGAAACTCCTAATTACACAGTTCTGGAAGGGGGTAAACTGCCTCCTCACACGTACTTCGATACGTTTCCATTTTGTAAGCGTCTATAGCCAAATGTCCAAAGTTAGTTTTTTTTCAAGTGCTTTAAGACCATTATGACATGACCACAAGGTAAACTAGTGCCTTCCTAATATTTGCATGTACAAGTCTCTTTCCTCAAATCAACTATGCCACCATGTTTGAAATCATGCACTTGATATATTGCATCTAAAACACCTGAAAACGGACCATCCTGTTGTACGCTCTTCATTTTTCTAACTACTTTTTCTGCCCACACCATTAGCACTGTTGAAGATTTCCCTCTAAAGAACATATATATATATATATATATATATATATATATATATATATATATATATATATATATTAAATTATTATTTGACCTAATTAAAGTCCAAATTAAAGTCTTACCGCCATCAATGTGACACTTGTTACACCATTCCTATGAAAGATGGCGGAAGAACTCAAGAAAGGGTATTATGGGCATCTTTCTTTCATCTACAGATAAAACAATCATGGACTCCCCACTATTGGAGGGCATGTGATCGTACCGTTTCGACAGGGAATATGCTCTAGTCCAGTTAGCGTGTGCAATTTCGCTTAGTACACCGCTACTTGCGACCTAGTAGAACTAAATCTATACAACAAATTTTCAAATACATTTGTTTTGTAAGCTCTCACAAGCCTCCAAAACAAGACTTTTGTTTTATCATTTTTCCCAAACCGGTGTACTATATTTCCTAGTAGATGAAAAGCACACAAGCCATGATGAGCGTTTGGGAAAGCATTTTGAATACTAACCCGAATTGCATCGACCCTATTAGTTACAAAGGTCAAATATTGACAATCACCAATGCATTCATACAATTTTTCAAGAAACCATGTCCAAGTAAGGCCACTCTTTTTTTTGCATATTCCATGCGCAATGGGCACTATCTGGTTGTTCATGTCCATAGCTACTACATGTAATATGGTTCCCTTAAAATCACCCTTAAAATAGGCACCATCCATAATTTTGACTTTATGAAAAAAAAATGTTTGAAAGCTCATATCTACAATATATTTCTATGGAACATGTAAACACTCTACATTTTTTACAAATTAGTATAAATTAAAAAGAACAAATTTATTGTATTTATCGTGCTCCCAATGGTATAAAAATAACACTCGAAGCGATCTTCATAATCTGTTTGTATATAGGCCACTATAACAGGATTATGATTCTTCAAGTTGTGAAAATAAATAGGAAGTTTGGAAAAACAATCTCTAGAGGACCCCAACACCAGTTCCATCATGTCAAGCTTGTTTGTAACTTACATTGATTTGTAGCAAAGCATTCAAACGCCTTGATATTTCATTAGGCCTCTAAACCTTCGAACGCGTTTTTCCCATATTCTCATGTAATATAGTACCCGTGGCTTTTTTATTTGTGTGCTTATGATTTGGGTGTATCTGTAATGACGAACATGTGTGCACGTTGTTGAAAGTCCTGATTTGAAATTTGTATATAAAACGCCAACTACAGTTCTCAATTTTACAATATACCTCGTAATGATTTTTGCTAGAAGGTTTGGTCTTAAACTGAAACCTTTCTCTGGTTTCTTTAAGATTCAAAGCAAATATTATTTTTTGTTTGTTATCATACGTTTGACGAACAAACATATCATCATTTGGACCTAAATTGTTAAATGGTCCAGGTTCAAGAATCAGGACAATCAGGTATGCGAGGCATAGCGTAAAAGATGTCTGAAGCTTTTTTTCCTTGTTTGAACTCATCTACTGACCATCCTTCATTTGATTCTTCATCGTCAGACAAAGTTTTGTCACCCAGTCGTCCAAACTCATATAAGTTTTCTTCTATCATCGTATTCATTGCCACTGTTTTTTTCTCGTGATCAGTCTTCAACATTATCTGATACAATGTTGTCAACATTGCATACAATGTTGGCAACATTGTATGATACAATCTTGTCAACTGCTTCCGTCTGTTCGACCCATCCCTCAAGCACCTCTAAATACACATGGACAATCTCCTTCGTTTCAGACATTACATTTCTGAGTTGATGAACATCTGCTTCGTCTACAATATTCATAACATACCCATGAACCGGGTGTTGAAATGACAATGATATATTACTATTGAACGTATTAGCCTTATTTTTAACTCAATCAAACAATATTCGACGGTGAAAATTAGGCAGAAGTAGTAAACCTAAGTTGTTAAACTTTGCTCTAACGTAGGTGTTAATTCCATTACTCAACTGCCACCCCCCTCGGTACATATAATAACAAATCTCA